TTTGTTACCACAAAGAGGGCAGTTCACTGTTAGAGCCCAGTTCCATAGAACCCCTGTAGAGTTACCTCTGTTCAGACCACAAGAAGGAGAATGACAACTCCTTATACACAGGGATTCACCTAAGCAAGATGACTTTGCTCTATGTAGATTTCTAACCTTAGAAGTTTTGTAGTCTGATAAATTGAACCATACAAGAGAACACTATTTAGTCATACATTACTTCATTAGTTTGAAACAGACTTTGTAACACTCACTAGATTCATAAATATTTCTATTAACTTCAACTTTGTTAGAAATATCTTGTTTGTAGGGCTATGTAGCCAAAGCCATAAAAATTAAGGGCAACGAGAAGGCTCAAAGGTTAATGCATGTTTGGTGCTGTGATATGGTTTGAATTGCACAAATGTTTCTGAACAGACAGTCCCAAACCAGACATTGCCATGCCCATGATGGCAAAAGAAATTTTTCATAGCACAGACAGTTACCCCCACTAATTAAAACTACTTGCATAAATTAAATAGAACTCCTTAATTTTGCCATTTTGCAAGATTCCCACTTTCTGAACATTTAATTCCTATCACATCACTTTACTCTGCAGCTGGCTTTAAACACTGGCTTCTCCCAGAGACCAGTTATGGAAATTTCAATCGTCAAATAAAAACTAATCATAAGAAATGTGGTACAAAACCTGATTTGCTTCATTGTCGCTTCAACTTTTGTTCCACTTTATTTATAGTGAATATAGTTTGTATACATTGGAACGTTATGAGCTACAATGTTTCAACATCTTTCTGAAAACTAGTGTTAAATTGTTCCTTGAATGGAAAGAGACCTAGAGGAAACACTCTTCATAATTATTACAAAAGTGTTGTTTCACATTTGCTTTTCAAACAGAGGAATCACTAGCGCCTCACTCTTCTTTAGCCTACAAAGCAAGAAGATGGAGGGAGGGATGAGTGAAATGTGTCAGCTGGAGGCTCTCTCAGAGGCCTCTGCAATTGTTTCTGTCATGGACTACCATGCAGGTAAATCCTGCTTTCCTGTTGCCTTTATTAAGCTTACAAAGCAAGTACGCTTCTTGTCTTTGAATTTAAGGTGTCTCCTCTTATGATGGATTCAAATTGTGCTTTCATTGGTTGTAACATGAAATATGGTTATATTCTTCACTTTTAATTTAAAATCTGGGTGAAGCCAGCAGGAGAGCAGTCTTTTCTCTACAGGAATCTCATTTTGAAGTGTGGTCTTCAAGGAGGATAACAGAAAACACACTGCAGTACCAAGGAGTTATTGTATATACTCTATGAATGACCAGAGTATACCACTAGTGAGCAAAGAAAATCGTCATCTTGCAGGGAGATTTTGTATACATTTATCAAAAAGGGATGGAATTTCTCCAAACATGTGAAAATATAGCACAGGTTAACCCTTTAATCCCCAAGAGTGACAAGGTTCTAATTTCTCTTTACAATCTATCCCTTGAATCAAATGTTTAAGTCATGAGAATAAAAGAAATGATCAGCAATTGCATCTACATTTATTATTAGTTGATAAAATCTGTAAAGACATCACACCAACTATAATAAAGCTCTTGATGGTTTTACAAATTCTCTTCACTAGAACCTTGGAAATTTAGAGAAAACAGTATGGAGAATATGGATAATAATGTTAGGGTGTAAAGAGTTGATGACTTGTAATTTAAGGAAGAGAAATATGGAAATCCTTACCCATGATATTTTGTGGTTAGATGGTCTTCCCTTGAATATAAGCCCATGTGGTGGGGGAAGGGAATTATGAAATTGGTAAAGAAGTGAGGCAAGTGATTGGTGCCAGGCCGCATTCAACACAAAATTGTCGCTGAATAATCCCACAGATATCATATGCTTCCATCAAGCTTGTGTTGGGGAATACCTGAGATCTGAGGACACTTTGACATAACAAAATACTCAGAACAATAAAAGATCAGATTTTAGGCATTTTTATCTTTTAATTTGGAATTGTAATAATATTGAACTGTGGCTGAAAATTAACCCTTCACACCTTAACATCAGTAAAGGTATTCTCCATACTGTTTCCCATACATTCTTTAAGGTGCTGACAAGGAGAATTTGTGTAACAATCAATAGCTTCTTTTGCTGCTGATAATTTTCTTTATTCTCAAGGCCTTATGATTCAGAGGTAATATTGTAGGGAGAAATTAGATGTTAATCACTCTTAAGGGTTAAAGGGTTAAGTGAAGAAATGGCCCATTGCGGTCAGAGCAATAATCAGGACAAACGTAATTTTCAATATTTATTTTGTAGGATGCTACTACTATCTAAAAAATGTAACATCGTTTGTTCATGAATAAAAGAAATCGCTTGATTACAGTTTAAATCAAGCCCTCTTTAGAAACTAATCCTCAGCCTAGCCCCAATCCGCGCGGGTATCTATACGAGTTTGACCTTCGCGCGGATCATACAAATGAAAAGTTGACAAGTAATAACGGGTACGTTCTTATTTCAGCCGTATTCCCAAATCGTTAGGTAAATATCCCTTTTATCGATTGTGTCGTATTTCCTATGTTATTACCTATATTATTTCCAGTCTTCTATAGTTGTTCCGTTCTTAATGTATTATTTTTGTAATACTTAATTTAGAAACCAATGGCAATGACGAAAAAGTAGAAGAGTTCTATCGGGTCGTCAAGAATTAAACTTGCCCTAAATTTATTGCTGGTGCGCCGGATATACCCTCAGTCTCGTCTGAAGAACGTTATAACAAACTTACTTGTTACATAAGAAACTGTTCTTTAGCCTCCGTCAGCGAGCTATATAGTTATATCCCATTCACAGCAGAAAAACGTGTAGTTAACCGAGTTTAACTCAATGAAAATAAGAAACGGAACCTTCTTATGAAGAAAACAATCTTTTTTTTTTAACAAGACAGCCATAAAACATGTTTCAGCTTTGGTGTGAATGAGGTATTGGTCTCGACCATTTGCGAACCTAATTAATATAAAAATATACTGATAAAAAATATAAAAATTTACTTTAAAAAATATGAAAATATACTTCTAAATAATATTAAAATATACTTATTATAAATGTATGAAAGGACTTATCCCAATTAATTTGAAATAACTATCGCTTTTATAACAGTTTTCTTCTTTTTTGTTACTAACCACGTCGAGCAATATCTTATCTGAGGCATCCTAATCGTCTTCAAGAATTCTTCTCTCTCTGTAAGTATGCACGTATAATTGTCAGACGAGGTAGCACCAGTGAAGCTCTCATGATACTAGGATGGTCTAACTTAGAAACTATCAGGAAAAGGAACATGTCTATTTTAGTCTACAAATGTCTTAATAATAACAATAACTTTATTTATATAGCGTCTATATCACTAATTGCTCTAGGCGCTTAACAATATCACAAAATGTATTAAAAAAAAACTACAAAATCTAACAACTACATATATAAGCATGGAAATTAATCAGAATTATATTTACAAATCAAGAAAGGCTTGGCGAATTAAATATGTCTTTAAGAGTTTTTTGAAAGAATTCAAGGAATCGGCATTTCTTAAAGATGCGGGTATGCTGTTCCATAATTTAGGTCCTGCAATAGAAAATCTTCGATCACCATAAGACTTAAGCTTAGATCTCGGGGCTTGAAGTAACCTATTCGAACAAGAACACAAAGAGTAGGAGCCGGTACAAAAGCTGAGCAAATTGGATAATTATATAACTTGGTGAAAGTCCATTGATAGCCTCATATTCTAACAATAAGATTTTATAAGTAATACGGTATTCAACAGGCAACCAATGTAAATCTATTAAAATGGGAGTTATATGTTCATACTTCTTTGTGAATGTTACAATGCGCACTGCCCTATTCTGAACTAGCTGTAGGCGGTTTAAGAGAGCTTTAAGTAATCCATGTAGAATCGCATTACAATAGTCCAAGTTAGTGGTCACAAAAGCATGAATAGTTGCTTCAGCAGATTCACGATCCAAATATGTTCTGATCTTACTAATATTAGTTAGATGGAAATGACATGTTTTGCATATCTTTTTAATGTGGTCTTCCATATCAGCACTGAGATCGAGTATCACTCCAAGATTGCGAACAGAAGAGGACGGTTGAATAGTTTCACCCCCAACACGAACGAATTCCAATGAGGGACTGGGCCGATAACGTGAACTGAATAGAAGCAGCTCGGTTTTTTCCTCATTTAGCTTAAGACCATTGAAAATTAGTGTCCTCTATCTTTCTGACTATGTTACAAGAAACCACAGCTTCATTAGTTACAATCCACGAGGGCGTGAAGGCATTCATCCTTCAAGACCTTGGACAGCGTCTTAGAAGGCGTTTAAGCGACTAGCGATGAAACACGATTTTGCATAGATTTTTACAAAGAGCTGATGTTTAAATATTTTCTATCTTGTAATATAGATCCAGTTATTAGTTTTCTTTTGTAATATTATAAGGTCTTAGCCTACAAGTGTTCATCAGAATTTGATTATAAACATTGTAAGTTTTTTCTTTTAAGTTTTTCTTAGACCACAAGTTTTTAGACTACAAGTGTTTCTTGTAATTGATTATAATATTGTAATGATTTAAGGTTTATACAGGGCCCCTCTGGACAACAGCCTCGTAGCTGAATGGGGCCACCCTTTTTTAAATAGAGTTCACTGACTTACTCTTCCTTTCGACAATTACGGGAAATTTTATTTCACTTTATTTATCTTACGCTGTAAGTTTACTTTAACTTTCTCATGCATTTGCAACCTAGTACAAATATTCTACGTTCATTTTCCTGTTAGCACTGATTCCAAACTGATTATAGAAGGATTAAAAGCGTTTCATTCGTTATCTTTTACTCTAGTATCAGATGAAACGTTGACAAGCAGTGCAAAGTACGCATTTTTTGATACTGATAGTTTAAGCACTCGGTAGCGGAGAATTCTAGCTTGTATTCACCATCTTGGCTTGAATCCTCTGTTTCCTGAGTCTGAGAAGTTACTGCGGGAGCTGACCATACAAAGGGTGCCGGCATATTGGGCAATTACGTCTGAAAGCAAAAGAAAAGAAACAGTGAGATGCAGAGCCCTCGAAGCAAACTTCTCTAAAGGCGGGGAAAAAAGTCGCGGATGGGTTTCGTTTTGTATCTGATTGGTCGAGATGTGAGCGAAGTGAAGGAAAGCCAATGCAGTCCCGGTTGCTTTTGACACTCGATTAGAATTGCTCACAACCAATAAGTATTCAAAATCAGGAAAGCGCGTAAAAACGTGAATCACCAAGCCGCAATTGCTTTCAGTTTTGCACTCGATTTGTTGAGAGACTGGCGCGATTTTTCTGCAAAACCAAAGCAATCCTGGATTAGTTTCAATACTCAACAAAAAACTGCCGTTTGATACTGTACCTCATTGCGTAACACAACGCTACTTGTTACACCCACAGAATATATGGGTTTGATGTCTACATCCCTAGAGCGCAATGGCGTTCTCATGGCACCAAGTAAGAGAAGTCTTGGTATATCAATTGAAAACTGCGGAAACGGTTTCATGATGACAGCATCGCTCTTCCAAAGGACGAACGCCGTTGTCCCGTTTCATATTTGGAAACTTTATTGATGATGTGTGATTATCATAGTGATTATCATCGTGATCATCACCACTATTTCTTAAGTTATACTCTCATTTACTAATATCCTTTAAAAACGTTATGGACAGTTGCTATAAACTATTTAAGCATTGATAAGCATACTTACACGCCATTCTGTATCATTGCAATGGCACACTCCTTGTGAACCTTGTGTGAGCATGGTAGGATTTGACAACCGCTGAAAGCGTCCTGAAATAGCGTGCAGAATTTAACGTATCAGTAACACTCGTACCCGAAAATTTTCATCATTATCAGCTGCGTGTCCTGGGGCTTTTTTTCATCAATCAAGATCATTGCTAAAAAGCGTAAATTCCTGGCTACGTGTTTGAAGCAATTTAAAAGTATAAAATATGATCTATAATTACCTCCAAGCAGATGCAACACTCGTCATGTCCTGAGTTCGGCCGACATTTGTGTTTTCCCTCCAGTCGCTTGTCCAGGCAAACATTGCACACGTCGCAGTGAAATGATCTGTCCTTGTAAATACTGAAAAACAGATTGGTTAAATTAAATCCAAACCTGCGGATTTGTCTCTTAAAACTTTTGTTTTAGCAAAGCAAAAGCTCTTGGAATGCTCTTTGCAAAGGTGAAACAGGCCAGTGTACAACGCATCGTTTCCTTCTTTCAACCTATGGTACGTCTCTTTATGACCTTTGGAAAATTGTTCAAAATCTTGTTGCGCAATGCAAAACTTCGCATTACTTCGCCCCCGGTAGCACTCGGAACAGATTTTGTTGGCCAGGCAGAGCTGGAGAAATATGGAATATGGCCTGTAGAATTATGAAATAACACTTAAAGAAATTTTTAGAGGGCCTACGAGTTACCAGTAAATAAAACAACCTTTGTTGTATTCCCTCGAAACTATATCCCTTTGATTTAAAGAAAACAATACATTTTAACAAAGATTTTGGCTCCGCACATAACTTAATGCTTTCAATGTTTAGCATACGAGGTAATAAACGTGTCTATGAGTCGTAGTATATTTCAATCGAAAAACAACTTACCGGCAGATTTCACACTTCTCGCAGTGGAAAGGGTTCTTGTCAACACCTGTAAAATGCTTACATTTTGGGCAGAAATATTCTGACAATTTTACGCCACAGCGTCTGCAGGTTTGACTTTCTTCATTTATCTGAAATAAATTAGAATATCATCAGTCAGAGGGTGTTATTTTTAAAAGTGTGATTTTTTTTAAATTTCAGAATGTTTCAAAGAATTTGTTTATCCTTCTAATATTTTAATTAAACATTGCGTGTAGTTAATGCATCATTAGTAATATCTCTGACAATTTGTGTAGAGGCACGACTTAAACAGCTGCACACTGGAGCCAAGCTCTCGTTTCAACTGAGTGACGAAAATAAACCAGCATATGACATTGCGTTCCCGTTATAGAACTGTTTGATCAACCTAAAAGATTCGCACCAACTTCCCACCCAATCAGATGCCAAACTATAACCAGTGGGGACCTGGGCATAACTGTTCTTCCGCGCTTGATGCCAATTACATGATATCACCATCTTCTCAATGGGTCGTTGTAAGTTTTTCCTTTGATCTGATTGAATTTCATGTTCTCAAGGAATTTGGTTTTTACGTCTAAAGGCTTTTTATTGATCTTGGTTTTCTGATAAATCTGAAGTTACATGTAATTCACCTCCATAGGATCCTAACTTCACGTCTTTTGAGATAAAATCTAGTTTTTATAACTTTGTTACTTTAAGCTTCTTCAGTACGACAAGATTCTAAGTATGTAAAAGATACTAACCTCTTCTTCTCGTCCGCAATTTCCGCACTTGACATGCGTCGCATGATGTGCCTTTTTATCATCAGTAGGGCATGTCCCCGATAAATTGTGACAGCGGTGGCACGGATAAAACACTCCGCAACATGGAAACTTGACACTACATCTCCGCTGGTAATGCTCGCACTGCCATAGTGGAGTCTCCTGAAGTGGAAGGCTCTCCTCTGTGGTCCTGTTTTCTCTTACTGTTGTATCCCTTTCTCTTCGTTCTTCCAATTCTCTTTCCATTCTCTCTCTATTTTCTCTTTCCTCTCTTTCTCTCATTTCTCTCTCTTCTCTTTCTCTCATTTCTCTCTGTTCCCTCTCCCTCCTTTTTCTCTCCTCTTGTTCTCTCATTTCCCTTTCTTCTCTCTCTTTTCTTTCTCTTGCCTCTCTTCGCCTCTTTTCTCTTGTATCCCTATGTCTTTGTGCCACCTCTCTCTGCTTTTTGGTTCGTTCTTCTCGTTCTTTAAGAATTCTATCGATTTCAGCCACTTGTTGTTCTAGAGAAACCAGTGAAGGGTCCCTAAGAGATAATGAAGCAAATGAACCCTCCTGTTGATTATTGAATAGGCCATGGCTCCTCAAGCTTTCCTCTCGTCTCTCTGCATAAACCATTTCGGATGAAGTCAAACCACTATTTGCCTGGGTATCTCTCTTTGCTTGGGTATCTTCATAGGAGGACCTGTACCTGTTGAAGTCCCCTACGCGTTCTTGTTCATAGCTGCTTAACACATCATAAGTGGAAGTAACTGAGGCTGCACTTCCTGAAGTCGTGCTTGAAGAGAATTGCCAAGTGGTAGTCGGAAAATTTGGTGCGGTAACGGCTGGATATCTCACGGCGGGCGCCAATGGTCTGACTCCAAGTGAAGGTGATGCTGTCTGAGTCTCATTTCCTGCAGAAAAGTCTTCAAAACTTGAAAAGCTCGTTTGATGTTTGATACTTGGCAAGTTTTCATTCCAGTGAAGCGAGTAAACGCCTCGGCTGAAGCCACCAGTACTGGGGAGCTGCCCCCTCATTTGTGTCACAGGCTGGTAGTTCACTGGCATTGGATCTCTGTACCGTGGACTCGCCGCCCTGAAATATACATTCTCTGGCGTCAACCCGCCTCTTTCTGGAGCCGGTGAGCGGGGGAGGCTCCAAAGTGAGGAGGAGCTGCTATTACTACTTATAGAGTGCTGAGTCCAATCGTCTGAGTGCTTATCGCTGGCTCGCATGTCATAACTTTCTACAAACGAGCTCTGTGGAAGACTCGGATCTGTTGAGTGCCGGGCGAGAAAGTTTTGATTAATACCAGTTGTCTCCAAGGATGGTATCTTCCCATCATGGTTGTTTGTTTCAAATGTGCTAAAAATCATTGGATTCTGCAGAAGTATCTTTGGTCTTGCTCCTTCACTTGTAGCTTCACCATCTCTTTCCGCTGAAAGCTCGGCATTGTTTCCAACTTCAAAGCTGTTAGTCTTTTGGAGTTCTTTAGCTTTCTTCTTGTCATTTCTGGTGTTGGAATTTCCACAAGAACTATCATTATTGCTGTTGATACTATTGCTGTTGGCTAGGAATCCATCATTGCTCTCAGCACTAGAGTTGCCCGTGTCTTCATCAATGCTGCACTGTGAGTCAAATCGCAACCTGACGTTTAACTCTTCAGTTAGAGACTCATCAGTTTCATCTGACTCCACAAATGTTTCGTCTTCTTTTGGACGTAGAGTGGATTGAATTGTGCAACTTTTAGCAGAAACGCCATTGTTGCTGGCAATGTTTTTTCCACCATCGTAACCATTGCTCCCCTTATGATTATTAAGATATTCAATTTCACAGTTTTCACCACAGTTCTCATCATTGTCATCGTCATTAACTCCGTCATCATCTTTGTTCTCACTGCTTTCTTCGCTATTTCTAATGACATCATAATCATAATCAATATCATCGTCACCACCACCACGATTGTCATCGTCATTAGAACTACTCGTGTAATTATTGGCTGCTTCATCTCCCTGTTTGTCTTCGTCTTTAGAGTTACTGTCTTGGCTAACGATGTCTTGGTGATGTGCATACCCGTTAAGACGAGGATGGACTCTCATGTCGTCCCCCCCTCTACTACGATGATCCAATGGTATTTTCGAGTATTTCGAGCTCAGTCGGGGGCTAGACTGGATCGGTTCTTCGGGAATATGTTCCATGGTGTTTCGCTGATCCGTGGCTGCCACAGCTATTGAGATAAAAAAATTTTGTTAGCTCAGGCCTTCGAACATAATTTTCATCGCTAGGAATATATACAAACAATCAAAGTAAAATAAATCAAATGACGAAACGTTCAATCAAAAGCAGCAGCGAGGCTGGGGCATTATACTTTTGGTTCAATAGGAAGGTCGAGATAATAGGCGGGGGAGGGAGACGTGACATAACGGAAGGGATTAAGGGGTTAAGTAACGAGTGAAATGGCCCAAGATACTAGGGGAAAGGAGATATCCGGGTTGTATGGCCAAGGGAGAAAAAAGCTGCAGGCCTTTTTATATAAAAGGGGATGAATTAATGATCAAGATCGAAAGGAAAAGTGACTGAAAAGACTCTTACCAAAGCTCTTTTCATGTCTCTCTTTCTGTAGCTCTCCAGTAAGCCGGTAATTTACAACTGTTAGATTTCTTTTCGCAAAGTCACGTTCATATAGAATGCGACCGTATTCTTCTTTTAACAAATGACAGTAAGTGTCTTCATTCCAGAATTTTTCCCCTTGCCATGCACATTCACTCGATGGTGAATTTCCAACCTCGCTATCCAGGGGGACAACTTCCGTTCGGTTGGTCGCCGTGTCTGGTTTTGTGTTTACTGCTCTTCTCTTTAGCTTTCAGTATCTTAAGGGATGTCACTAAAATCAATGAAAAAGAATCCCACTAAAAGAGCAGTCATTATTACTACCTGGGGGAGGAGTTGAGGAATTTGGGGGATCACGTGTTTTTCAGGGGGAATGGAGGGGGGAATCGGTCGTTGCTAACGTGGGAACTATAAAGTGGGAACTATAGAATAGAAAACTGACTGCTACTGAATTAACTGCTAATGAGGAGGGATATCTTTAGAATGTTGCAAAGCCTTATGGGGAAGATGTGGTCAGTATTATCGTGACTCAACCAAAATCCTCTCCCCCCCCTCCCAGGCGATAATAATCACTTAACCCACCATATTGTTAAATTTAATCCACGAGATTAGTTTGTAATCCCTTGTTAACTAACATTGGAAATACGTTACCAACCTTGATCGTAAAAGTTTAACTTGTAATTTCTTTCTTATTTCATTCTGAATCATATGAGAACTTTTTCTGCGGCCACTGAAGCATTATTAGAGCAATTGAAACATACACAGCAATATAACCAAGCCTGACAACTACAGCAAAAACAACAACATCAATACATTAAGGGGATTAATAGAAAACTTCACAACAACGAGTAACAACATAATCATACAAGATTATCAACAAAAGCAAGTCTACAACCTTACGCAGTTTTTTGAGTCTCATTGTTATATCGGTCTAAGATGTTTAATTAAGACTATTTTCACCCGTCTGCTCAAATACTCTACATGCAGTTGTCATATTCGTAGTTGAGGCACGGTCCAAATTCCAAAATCCAAAATTGTAGTTCGATTCGATCCATATTTACAATTCCGAAGTTGCACTGTCTCCAAGGTTACAAGGTAAACATTTGCGCAATGATAAAATTTTTAACATCACAAATTTATGAGTTTAAGTATAAATTTCATTATCTGACATAGTGAAAACATCGGTCGATCACTCGATCAAACAATGAAAATTAAAATTTTCTTCTCCATCTATTTTATTGATTAATTTTCAGTGTTATTTTTTGAAGTAACAATAACACCGTCATGCAAGTGAAGTTTAAATTTGTTATTTGGAATCCGTGACAATCTTCTCCATATTTAATTATCCTTGTTCCCTTTTAAATCCTTTTGCCTTTTTGGTTTTTCTCTACCAATGTGAAATAAAATTCGAGCTTTCCCTCAATTTTACGACTACTTCTGACAACTTAAAAACTCTCGATGTGGCTCTTCTTAGAAGACTGAGGTCAACATTTTATTTCAGACACGCTCGAATTAATCATGCAATCTTCTGAGAATCAGTCTAAATAAACAAAATTAAAGGAAACGATAGAACTTACTTTTGCTGAATAGAAACACACCTCCACGAGAATTTTCTCCGTTCGATTACCGCTTATTTATACTTATATACTTTATACTTATTTAAAGAGACAATTACGTCACCTTCCGAATTGTTACATAAGCTTTGTTGAAGTGTTGTCATACACTATTCTTAGAGTTGCGTGGGCCGCTGATCATACGTATTGACTCAGCAATGCTTCAAGTGTGAATCAAGCTGTGACTAACTTCATTATGCAGACGGTTAGTTGATCTTTAAGAAAACAATGGTTACAAGAAAAGTTCACCTCTGAAACTGAGACCGTTTCAGAGCAGTGCGGTATTATGCATGCGGAAATTTTTCTGTATTTGTCGCATGACTTTTGGGAAATTTTATTAGACGTAGACTCTGACGTCGCGTAAGTCTCTAAATAGAGGAATAAAGGGGTACGTTTCTAAAGAAACTGTGGTGCTGCGTCGGTGGGAGAGTATAGCAGGTAATTTAGTGTTAACAACTGGGTTGAAAACGTAAATTAGCCACCGTAAAGGGTAAAAAAGCTGACGTTTCGAGCGTTAGCCCTTCGTCAGAAGGGAAATAGAGGAAGATTGACTGGTTATTGAAGAGACGAACAGTAATGTTGACAACATATCACTTTGATTTTCAACTTCAGGGCAGTTTCGGTAGCGTCTTCGCTGAGCTAGCGACACGGAAAAAGTGCAGAAAAATCATCGACATGACTGCTCTATCCTTCATAAGTGGTGATTATGTGGGTTTTCGAAGAAAATGACGGTAGCCGAGTGAAAGCAAGCGGTGGAGGTGCTAGAAGAAAGTTCTCTTATATCGAATACCTCGCGATAAATTGCGTGACCTACAAACTCACACCTGTTGATGCATTGGAACGCAAACAAATTTGACGTACGATGATTCACCATGAAAGCGCACGAGTGTCTCAACTATACGAAGGAATTCTTTTATTACAAAACGCTTTCTTACAGATTTTTATTGCCTTTCATTTACGTAAAACGTGTGCCACTGCGATGAGTGAAGATCCGGTGCAGAACGAAGTAACTTAAAACGTAGTTACATATCTTTTTCGACTTGTCACCGGCGTGGGAAAAAATTCAGGCCAGTGGTGAATAAAGTTTATTTTCGAGAGATTTCGTCAGACCGAGACTTCCAAAAAACGTGGGATAGCTTTTGGGAAATTTACCTGAAAGACTCGACAACGAAAAATGTTGTATACGCCTCCAAAGGAAGCTTGAATGGTACACCGTGATCACAGAAATGAACTGATGTTTACATCATCACTTCGATTTTCAGAGCAGTTAAGGTAGCATCTTCGCTAAGGTAGCGTCTTCGCTAAGCTAGCGACACGGAACAAGTGCGAAAGATCATCGACATGACTGCTCTATTCTGCATGAGTGGTGATTTTGTGGGAACTTGAAGAAAATGAAGGCAGCCCAGTGCGAGCGGTAGAGCTACCTTATGTTAAATGCCTCGCGATCAGCACAACTGGGCAAATTGCGTGACTTTCATAACACATGAACCTGTTATTACGTTAGAACGTAGACAAATTTGGCGTAGGATGTTTTACCTTGACGGTGCACGACTTTTCAACGCGATATTTCAATAATCCATCAACTTTTCGACAAAAAAAGAAAAATTAGGTGGCCGCTAAAAATCAGCTTATGTTGGGAAAATTAATTAAAAAGTTTTTAGTATGCACAGTATTTCCGCCTACGTGACAACTGTCATAGTCACAACAGAGAACGTCATCAGCTGTCAGCAATTTTCTTTCCCTTTTTGCTAAGAGTGCACGAAACCTACGGAAAACGAATGGACTAATTTACCACGTTCGGATTTGATTTCCATACATTGCTATCTATGCGTGAATTGATTTCCGTGATTTAGAATGGAGAAATATTTGCCTGATTTGAACGAGGGCTGAACTGGAATATTGACTGTAAATTATTTTGTACTGCAGCCAGACTGTTCACATGAATAATAACATCTTTTTTTACTATAATAGCGAAATGATGTAAATTAAAGATAAAACAAAAATTAGGTGTATGTAAAGCAATGTAAATGGAAGCAGTCCTTTACTTTCTAATACTTTTCTCCGAGCTGTCGAGGAAACGTAATTCAGACTACGTTTACGCGTAAGTGTATCAGTTGGATCAAAACTTTGTCACTTAAGGGTCCCTTTTGCTGGATTTAGCGAGAAAAGAATTGAAACAATTACGATCTGTCTGTAAATGTTTCTTTAAATGTTAGTGAAAGGCGTCGAGTGTACACGTCTGTGGAAAAGTGGTCAGCTGATTATTACGGTCAAACATACCGAGCTTACAATTGAGAAGTTTCTTCTTGCTCTCGATCTGACACTTTCAAGCGCCTTCAATAGAAAGTTGTCAGGAAACTTTGTCTCCCACTGAACAGTTTTCAGTCTCTGTGTAACGCGAGCAAAGTGATCGTAATCAAACAGGTTTTTCCAACTGGCCATAACTCTTGCACTTTCCATTTTTACCATCTCACTTTTTACCGAAGTCGGTCGATGTAGGCTTCCCGTTTGAACATACAGCCGAACGTAATAATGGTAATGGGACTAAGTGGAGTCCGATTCGGTCTGTAATCATAAGAGAGATTACCCAAGTCGGACGACAGCGAAGCGTGAGTCCGGTTTGTTTATCACGAGTATGATAACAGACAGAATTGGACTGCATGAAGTCCCATTACTAATTTATCAAAACAATAACAAAATTTGAGATAGAAACTAGGCATTACTAATACGTTTTCATAAAAAAAACTAACAGTTAACTCTGCGAAATGCGAGACAACAGCGCGTGCACATGATGCGTCCTGTCCACTTACACTGCGGACAGCCCAAGTTCTTGCTGTGAGGTGATCATCTTGCAAAATAAGAGTCATGGCGAGAGTCTGTTTAAGAATAGTTACGACCGCTCTTAAGAAGAAAAAAATATAGTCAAATTCTCAGTAAAAATACCTCGCCTTACTTCCACAGCGCATGACTTGTTGTCTGACCGCTTACTGTGTTGCAAAGAACCGATTTTAGCGAGTTTCCTATTGCTGGTTTACTACTCTTAAGGAGTAATAAACCTAGAAATTGATAACTCACTAAAATGGCCTCGTTGTAACAAAGTAAGCGGTCATAAAACAAGAAACACATTGTGAAAGTAAGGTGAAGTATTTTTATTGAGAAGTGTCTTGTATTGTTTTGATATCATGTCATATTTCCTTTGCCGAAGCAAAGTTCGGTGCGTCAAATTATCAAGTAGATTCCATGATGCTGTTCGTTTGTTCAGTAACAGATCACAGATGACGAAATTGGGTAACAATAACAAAGTAGCTTACGAGGCGCAACCGAGTGTATCACTGATGTTCTTATCACATGTTGACGTTTTCTGTGATCTATCCCTGTACAGACTCACAGCAAAGCGAGATCTATTGGTTTTATGATAAAATTAGTAAAATGTTGTTAACGGTGAGTCAGAGCGTAAGTAAAAACCAATGAAAATCATGTATGATTTGGCTCAACACGTAAAGCTGATTTTTATCCGAGTGCTTTTGGCAGTGAATTTATGCACAGTTATGTAATGCCTTACAAGATTTTGAGCAAGTAAAAACAGATAAGTAAAAAACGTTGCATTAAATGAATGCAGACGAGAATACGTAGTGCACTACAAAGTCCTGCTTTGCCCTTGCAGAAAACATCACATTAGTTTTTGGTTTTGCGAGGTTTAAAGTTTAGGAGGGAAACCAAGTTGGAATAACGTTAGTAGTGCCATGGGCCTATTGTGTATTTTGAGTGAATGTATTTTCAATTTTTTACTGAATTACTTTAGCGTTTACAAGGACAGATCCTTTCACTACGATGTTTGCAATGTTTGCCTGGACAAGCGAATGGAGAGAAAACACAAACGTCGGCCGAATTCAGGACATGACGAGTGTTGCATCTGCTTGGAAGTGTGGACTTGGGAGTAATTATAGCTCACATTTCATGCTTTCAAAGTGCTTCAAACACACGATTCAGTAGTGAGCAATTTTTCTTATGTACGTTGTAAACCTCGAAATTGATAACTCGCCAGAATGAGTTCTTTTCAACTTAGTAAGCGGTCAGATTGTAAGCGATGCACTGTGGAAGTAAGGTTAAGTATTTTTATTGAAAATTTGAATAAATTTTTTATTCTTATTCTTTATTCTTTTTTATTTTTATTCATTACCATCTAATAGCTGGAGCTTGGCCGCCTGTGAGTCACAAGGCAATCTCGTGCACCGCTCTAACCTCATGGCTAAAGAAAGCCCTTTTGTTATGTTCGTTGTAAACTTCGGAATGGATAAACTAACCTTCCTTTGCTTTAATAAACCAAGATGATGGCCGAAACTTTCGCTCGCCAATACTACATGTACCACGTAAGTTGGCATTGGCGACTCGACCCACTGACTCCTACTTCCCTCGAGAGCAACCTATCTATCCAGTCACGCGTGATTGATCTGGCAAAAACAATTAATTAAGTTCTCGCCCACTGAGACCAATGTCACGTAATGTCTGTCATCGAAGTCTAAAGATATTTGCATCGAAAAATTCAGAGCACAGTATGATCTCAATTTTCTTAAAGGGAAGTTGGTTTCACTCATCGAAAGGTTCGAAAAGTAGGAGTTGAAATTTATGTTACAGTTCGATCGAAGAAGGGACGTAAGCTAAGTATCGAATTAGCGAAGCACTGAAGCAAGCGATAGAAGAAATCGGTGTAACACCGCCATTTTTTACCGTAAAGTAAACGAGTTTTGCTGATTTGGGAAGTTTATTGTTCTTTTGCAGCTCCGCATGGAGAAACGCCTTGCTCGATGCGCGAGGTTTGACTGCTGTTCCCTGCCTGCAAGAGGGGCCATCAATCATTCGCCCATGACAAAATGCATGTTGCTTATTGTGAACGAACTGATGTCTACAACAATATCATTATTGATTGGAAATGGTGATTTTATGCCTAAGAAGGACAATTACGTTTCCTTTAGAGCTGAACATGAAATATTAACGAAAAATGGTGTGTTTCCTTGAGCTGAAGGAAGGCTTACGTCTAGTGTTCTCTAGTGAGCGAAGAACGTGATGAGCAAGCAGTTTTGTTCACTCGAGCACCAAATTCTCTCTTAGCTTTTCATCTACTCTTTAGACAGCTGCGCAATTCATATGTTAAAGCTAAAATATTTGAGAAATTAACATAAATCAAGGAAATAATGCACTACGCAGCACTTTCACTTCTCCATATTATAATACGATTCAAAGAGGCCTGAGCTTTTGTGAATATTCGCGTACGTGCTTTATGGAGTTTAACTTGGAAATCTTTACCCGATTGGTAAAATAGTCAATAAAGCATTTTTAGCGCAAAGACCATCACTTAAACTTATGCTTTAAAAATGGTGGAAGCTTTCCTAATTTTGCTGATGTAATCAAATGTTTGGTGCAGGTTTAAAAGCAATGGAGAAGTGATGAATCGTCGCCAAAATGACACTGTCAAACACAGGTTGGACAGCTTACAGTTGGAAAGATTCGTCCTCGCTCTTCGACACTTTTCACATGCACCGTGAAAACGATAGTTTGGGAGAAAATCAGTTGCCAACTCGGGCTCCGGAGAGTAGCTGAATCGATGAAGTAAACACTCGTGAACTAACACGCCTTTGTTTTTACAGCACTTAAAGGTATTACGTATTGTCTATTTTTATCACCTAACACGTAACCTGTACTGGACTTATTAAAAGTGGACGGAGGAGCAAGAATCCTAATATGCATGTAGCTTTCAATAGAACTCGCAGATCCGAAAATTTATAGTTCAAATTTACAGAACTCAAACAATATATGTTAATAGTCCCAAATTGATCATAAATATACGTGTTCACGGAAAAATGATAAGGACTTCCGTTTGAACAATACAAGAGGGAAGAAGGTGCTCTGTCTGACGTTGTTGGTGTTGGGGCATACCCGACCGAGAGCTCAAACTGCTTGGTTTCCCTTTCCTTTCATTTTTCCCTTGGTTTTTGACGTGAAGGAAACGAGGAAAATGCAGTAATTGCTCAGCGTAACATAGGGAAAATTATCCCAGCGTCTGTTAAATTCTTGGCTAATGATGTGACAACTACTGAATCAGATAAAAGTAACTGGCTATGAGCAAGCTAATATTTTCTCTTCAATTGAGATTTTGTCGAATAGTGAGGAGTTCGATATTTTGATTATAATTACTTCAGAAATAAAGAACTACATCAAGGATTTACAATGCAGACGTCCGGGGAAATTAATTTCTATTATTTTCTCGCAAGATATATTTAAGTTCACAAGGTTACCAGGTGGACAATCACACATAGTTTGATGCTACTCTGGTTTAAAGATTTAATGAATGTAACACAAGAAGTTAAAATTCATAGACCCAACATTACGACACTCCTGTCTGGTGCCTTCATCAGGGGTGAAGGATCAGGTGTGTCGTGAATTTTCGGTTACATTCATTAAACCTTTAAACCACACTAGCATCAAACCATGTCTAATTTCCATTTCTGCCCAAAGCTAAAAATAAACTTACCGGTAAGACAATCGACGTTTTCCGGCCAACGCCCAGACTGTCCCTCTGTGTCCCCCCCCCCTTTTTTTTTCTTCTTTGTTGTTCTGAAATATTATTTTTCTTTAGCAAACAGGAAGGTCACCCACACCTTGGAACTACCTCAACTACGCCCTAAACAAACGGATTACGTGTAATTTATAATAAAACTTATAAACTGGTACGGCCCTAATTTCTGTGATGATCACAAGTTTTTCACTCTCGATACATGTGAGAAGCGGAAATAGTGAGTGGGGAGTAGGGATGGGGGAATGGGAAATGGGAAATGGGAAATGGAAAACGGAAAACGAGGAATGGGAAAATATAATGGGAAATTAATTTTTTCTTGTTTTTTTTTTCTTTAGATTAACTCTCTATAGTGAGGAACAGATATTTTTCAACGATTTCCACGTTCTCTTTCAAAAACTGTCAAAAGCAAAATTCAAGGAACGAAATAAATTGATGATAAGGAAAGAAGTGATCTTTAAGGAACAGATAATGTCCGCGGCCAATTATAAGAGCATATTTTCGCGCAAATTAGAAGTTTGGGTGTTCCTTATCCTTCAAATATTTTGCAACGCGCGTGAAAAAATTGTGGCAGCACAGTCTTATTCTCAAGGCATCAATCATTTATAGAGTAAATATTTAAGATATAAAAATGTCCCGACACGCTTTCGTTTGTCGTGATCCCTAGACTGTTTTGACAAAATTTCACGAAAATCAGCCAAATCTACATACCCTACAAATTCGCTCACAGTGGATTTATTCCTCCCAAAATGAAAAGCGAGATTTTAGCTCCCGAAGGTTCGTAAGCAACTCGCGCCACGCCGGGAGATTACCGCAAACCACTGGGACAACGGGAACCCCTAGCGTCAATGACAATGGATCAAGATTTCCTGTGAAAAGTACCGCATCGCAATGTAACCCTCAATAATAATCTTTCTTTGCTTTTTATCAGTTGTGAGCAATTTTATTTTTTCTGCTTTTTTTTTCATCTTGCAAGTGTAGTTTAAGCTTTTTGATGCATTTGCAACCTGGTACAAATATTCTACGTTCATTTTCTTGTTGGCGCTAATTCCAAATTGATTACAAAATAATCAAGTTGCACGACTTCGACACATTCGAACTAGAATTAACCGTCGTCGAGGTAGAATGTGGAGAAATTCGGGAAGGACAGAACAGTGGTGGCTTAACTTGTTCAATGGAATTTTGCCGGAAAGAGAGTGGAAGAAGAACTTGAGAATGAACCGTACAGTTTTCACGTCTGTAGTAGACGAATTGCGACCCTTTCTTCAACCTGGTAGGAGTCCAAGGGGACTTGATGTGTTGTCTGTTGAAAAACAACTGGCCATGACTCTGTACTTTTCGAAGGATCAAGGCTCTCTTATGATGACAGCAAATGCATTTGGAGTTGCAAATTGCACAGTCTCCTCGGTGGTTCGAAAAGTATGCGACATTATCACTAACGTTTTAGGCACAAGATACATAAAATTGCCCAATACCATTCATAAATTGAATGAACTTGTTAATGGCATGGAAAATTAATGTGGGTTTCCACAAGCCTTTGGATGTGTAGATGGTACACACATACCCATTGTGCAACCGAGTGAGAATCCCCACGACTACTTTAGCTATAAGCTCAAGTACACCTTGAATGTTCAGGGAGTTTGTGACTGAAAAGGAATATTTTTAGATGTGGAAGTGAAATGGCCAGGAAGTGTCCAAATTCAAGAATAAACAAACTTCTTAGAGAGGAAAGACTTCCCATGTGTTATAGGGAAATTTTACCTGGCTATGAAAAGATACCTGTTAAACTGTTGGGGGATCCTGCTTACCCATAACTTCCATACTGCATGAAGGAATTTCCCAACACTTGGACAAATGAAGAGGTCATCTTTAATAATATGCTTAGGAGTGCGAGAAACTCAATAGAGTGTACTTTTGGCCATCTTAATGCAAGGTGGCAAATCTTAAACAAAAGAAATGACATGGGATTGAATTTTATTCCAAGCATTATTTATGCTTGTTGTGTACTTCACAATATTTGTGAATTGCAGGGCATGAATGTAGAGGATGATGTTCTTGCACAGCAAATAACTCGTGATAGGCTGGCACAGCCTGAGAATGCACCAGACAGGCTATATTCTTTTAACACTGCTGAAGGAGCTTTTGTGAGAAACATAATCACATCCTACTACAAGGAACACATTCCTCACTGATTTCATGTTTATTATTTGGCTTACTTCATTGCAAAAGGAATAGGTTCCTTTCTAAGTGAAAATAATCATAATCACTTATAACTTGTTGGGTCTTCATTACAGAACAGCAGCCTTGTCAATGTAATTTGATTCAAGATCGATCCACCAGAAATGAAACCATAAAATGCAACAAATTTAAAGATAATATAACTATTGTTGTAACTCTGTTAATATGTTTTCATATTTGAAAGCACATTTTTAAATAAATCAATATGCCTGTATGTTATATTAAATAAATTGTTGTGTTTATTTTCTTACATTTTATTGATTCTTTTGCTTGTATTGTCAAATTAAAAATAATTTCTTTTGGTATTTTTAGAGACTAACTAAACATTTATTGTGGTTGGTCAGCCTTTTATGTCCTTATTTTATCTTGAATGGATAAATGGTTAAAAGATACCCAAACATGCATTTAACTAAATATATATATATAATCATGAATAATTACTGCGAACTATATACTCTAATATCAAATCTTTTATAGTGAACTGTAACACAACAAGTGTCTTTCTTTTCATCTGGATACAATACCAATCTCTAATAATGAAAGCCGTCATCTTCCCATAGTGTTTGTGTAGCACCTACAATTGGTCCTCATTCCAAAACTGTGGATCAAAAAGGACCTAAATGTAGTACGACTTACTGATGCTCTTCCCCTCGCACTCCTGAGAACCAAAAGTAAGTTATGACGTTGGTGACTCTGCAAGTCACTTAAATACGGTAGTTTTGTCATTCGTAATCTGCGTTATTTTTGCCGATGGAGTATGACGTTGCACAAGATTACTCCGTGACTCTCCAAGCTGCTTTGTTTCGATGAAATTTGTTCATCACATGATAGAAACATTATTTTGGAAATTACAATTGAAAGAGAGAGGATATAATACAGGTCTTAGAAGAATGGATAAGTTTAGACTGGTTGTAAAAAGCTTCTCACGATAACCCATATGTCGACATGTCCATTTTATGCCCTTACGGGTCCGGACTATTCAGAGGCCAATGGAGACCTCAGCGAACATTCGCAGGGACAGGATACCACAAGAAACCTCTTCACTTTGGCAAGGTTTAACTTGAATTTGTAACCAACCGAACAACTATTTTAAATAAACTTTTCTAGCTGAATCCCAGCTCAGATCTGGGCAGTACGGCGATTAGAGTCACGTGAATGATGGCTCGGCACATTTGTGATCGCTGAACGCGAGATGCGTGACACTTACCAAGGTACTAGGCACTTTGTCTACGTTTCCCAGATTTTCCAAAAATTTTTCTTCGAACAAATTTCGACGAACAGAAAAATGGTGATATATTTTTACTGTATAAAAGGTTTCAAGGCTATCCACCTACGCCACATGGCTTAGTTAACGATTCCGGTAATTTTATCTGATGTTCCGAGGTTAATAGCAGGCCTCCCCCGCGTGTTCGTGGGATTGATATGTAATGGGACATGTGGCCGACGTATTGTAGAGCTCTATTAACACCCACTAAATCCCCCCTCTCATGTGCCAACCAGGGTGGTAGGTGGCTACCCTCATGGACATATGTCCGCTTTCACGTCTGTCTTCGAATTTAAATATTTGCATCGAAATAATACAGAGTACAGTATAAACCCGATTTTTCAAAAAGAAAATCGGTTTCAGTCATCGAAAGGTTCCAGGCGAATTGAGATTAATGCCAAAGTTACATTAAAGAAGGAAAAATTAAGTATAGCTCGAGTTAACGAAATATTTTCGAGGAACCACGCGAGCAATAGAACACTCGGCCGGTGCTCTCCGTAATTTGCATAACGCATGCCACTCATTGTGAACGAACTGCTACTTGGGAATGTTATTATCGATTGTAAATAATAATTTGATGCCTACGAAGTTATAAACACCTTTCTTTTTAAAGCTGAACATGAAATATTGTCGAAAAATGACACGTGTTTCCATGAGCTAGAAGGAAGGAAGGCTCGATCGACGAATATGACGAGCCAGTAGCTTCGGTTTCACTAGGGCACCAAATTCCCTTCTCTACATTAACTATTTAATTTATATGCTAGAGCTAAAATATCTTAAGAAAATAATATGAATATGAGCAATTAATTAACTTCGCAGCATTCTAACGCACTTCTCCATAGTATAACACAATTCACAGAGGCAGCTATTGTTAATGTTCGCGTATGTGCTTTCTGGAGTTAAGCTTTTGAAATATTTTCTCGATTGGTAAGATTGTAAAAAAGGCATTTTGAGTGCGAATAACGTCGCCATAACTTATGCTTTGGACACGGTGGAAGCAGTCTCAAATTTGTCTGTTGTAAACACGTGGTTGTTGCAGGTATATTAGCAAAGGAAAAGTGGTGAATCGTCGCTAAAATCTAAACTTAAGTTGTACAGCTTACATTTTGAAGTCTTCCTCTACGACACTTTTACGTGAAAACGGAAGTCCGAGAGAAAATCGATTGCCAACTCGAGATCCATTGAATAGTATATAAAAAAAATCTGTTAACAGCTGGCTGGCTGTTTCATTTATATTTATAAAGTATACGTCATCATTTATTTACATCACCTACATGAAACATAATAAAAGGAACGGATAGGACTTGTAGTGGCGGGAGAGCAAGAATCGTGATCTACATGTAGCTTTCGATTAATCTCCCAGCTCCGAACATTTCTGGATAAAAAAAAGGCAAATTTATAGAATTCAAACCATGTTTGTGGTCACAATTGCAAGTTGATTAGCAAAATAAAAGGAGAATCATGAAGACTACAGGTTGTTCAATTCAATTTTACTCCTTTCCCCTATTATCAAAGATAATCACAAGTTTTTCAGTCTCGTTTCAAGTGAAACTCAGTTCCTCGCCAACAACCGAAGTTCAAAGAATTTTTCTCACGAATTGCGGCTGACATCGTCGATAAAAGACTGATGAGATATAGAGAATAATACATGAGCGCGCGTAGATATGGAATTTCTCTTCGAGTGTTTAACAGTCGAGTTTACTAGAATCGGCAGAGATAATGAGATTGATTACCCCCAAAAAAGAGATAAAATGAAACAGGAACCTGGGTATTGCCTAAGACGTAATTTTTACTAACAGTCGGTATATCTACTGAAACAGATTACAGACGTAGAAAAATTTGAGCACGTGGTGCTTTCCTTTTCCATTACCTTATAATTTACACGTGAAATCTAACTTGTATCAAGTAATTACGTCTTGAAAGGTCATGACTAATCAGATAAGAATAACATGATTTTGAAGAAGTACACATTAAAAGTTGTATTTAACTTACTTTAAAGATCCTCTGTCAAAAGCAACGTGGTTGAACTCATATTGGTGAACAGAACAGGAACTGACGTTAAAGCGGAATTCACGGAACTTACGGAACTTGATGACCAATCGGATATGCGCCCATACTTACTTTACGTCTACGTAAATAATGTGGTAATTTATTGTTGCTACTACGGTAGTTTTTGTGGCTACCGCCTCCCATAGGAAGCGCAGCCAAAAATGTTGTCGAGATGAGTGAACCAAAATTTTGACCAGATGTTTCCCGATGCTACCTATTGTTTGTTTCGGAGTTTCTTAGTAGTTTGACATTCGCACTCGATACACATTTGAGTTCTCTTCTTTTGCAAAAATGTAACTGAAGTACACCGGACCACACCAAACTGCAGCAAACTACACCAAACTACACCAAACTATACTAAACTAGTACACGAAATACATTTAACTAAACCAAATCACAAAACTACGATAAGCTACTGCTAACTGGACCAACTATGTCAAACTAGTCAATCCTTCACCAAAATAAATCAAAATACAACAAACCTCACTAAACTAGTACGCTATCTACATTAAACCTCACCCAACTACACCAAACTACTCAAACCTACACTACACTACACCAAACTACATACACACTTAACTAGAACACTAACCTTAACAAACTACACCCAACTGTACCAACTGCACCAACTACATTAACTATACACCTACTACATCCAAAAACATATAGCTATGCCAAACTTTTCCTGAATACAGCGAACTAAGACAGGTACACCAAACTACATTCAACCACATTAAATATAACTCAAACTGTACCATTAAAAAAACGATAAAAAAGTACATGAAACTACACCAAACTAAAAGAAACCTACCAAACTACAGGAAACTTCACCAGACCACATCAAGTACACCAACTATACCAAATAGTTCTCACTACACCAACCATATCAAAATACACCACACTAAAAATCTCTGCACCATACTACACTCAACTACACCAATCTAAAACTCTACCAAACTACAAAAAC